ACAACGGGTTAGGAGAAGCTCGGGGACGTCACTCCCGAGAACCGCTTGTGCTGCAACCGAACGCCGAGACAATTGCACATCTTGCTGCCATAACAAACAATACACAACACCGGACAGCTGCAAAAAGGTGGACCCCGCGAGAAACGGGAAGCCATGGAATTGTTTAGGCTAGAAATATCGCGGATACAGAGTAAAAGTCTAAACCTCTTATGTACAAGTGGGATGCCTGGAAATGTTTTAAAAGTTTTCTGGCAGGCATCAACGGCTCAATGGAAAAAATGTACAACGAAGTTTGATGAACAAATACTGCGAAGCCAACCTTCTGCACCTAACCCCTATGCTTGATGCTCGTATCCTGCGTATTCAGCCGGTTGCTCGCTACCAAAAAGAACATGCTACGCGGAGGACTCCCTACAAGCCAAATCATTGCAAAGTCTCATGTTCTAAACCAGTTTGTGCACTCTACCGAATCCGTTGACTCGGACAACAGAAAGGCCCCCTGGACTATGCTCCATAAGCCTCGATGATCAAAATATTTGCCATCCCAGATCTGGAATTGAAAAGTAAGTACGGATCTCAGAATTTATATTTGCACAAAGCAAAATGTTCTTTGTGCGTAGTATCCAGCCTGCACGTACAAAAAGATTCCATATAAGAGTTCTAATACCCCACTTTTCATATACCGATTCATCCTTCAGTCGTATTATCCAAGACTAGGTTATTCAGCTTTATCTTTCGCCTTGAAATATGCAGTGTGGCACTGTTGGAGGCAGTGTTGGTAGCTGAAAGCAGTTGTGTGTAGGTCCACAGGATAAATGTACGAAAACAAGCAACGGTTGATTGAAAACACATACACCAGGACCTAAATGTTATATGTAGGCGGAAAAACAAAAATTGCATCATATATGTAAAGCACAGAGTAAGAACAAAGAGGAAAAATTCAGACCGTAGAGTTGCTAAGACACTTCTGCATAATGCGCTCGAGCAGAATCAAGTGGAATAGACCTGTTGGTTGCCCTCATACATATAGCCGAGCAGCTTTAGGTTATCCGCGACACCCTGATGGACCGAAAGCATTTGCTTCAACTTGGAGCAGTACAGTGTAAGACGATATAAATGGTTATAAATTGTAAATTGTTTCAGACATTTTTAGATAGTGAACCACCCGATAAGCATGTTTTGGCTAACCCACACTACAAAGTGAAATGAATTTGTCATATGCATTCCAACTGAAGAAAAATCAGACTGAAAGATCACGCTTTGCATGATGGGTGGTGTTACCTGAAACATGTTTAGTACACCTACATAATTGTTGGTCAATATCAGCTTTTTGTTTATTCAAGTACTGAATTCCAGCATATTCTATGAATTCGACGGATAGTGGATCATGTTTGGTTATTGGGCTCCTGGTTTTGGCTTTGGTGTTTGTAGGGCAAATGAGCTGTAATGCAACTGAATGGTCGGGTCGCACATACATAAACACTCTTAGTCCGAGTGAAAAAACCGGGTTCTTCAATAAGACTTTTAAATGAAGAATATGCGCAGGAGAGGCTCATGTCCACAAGTTGAAGGTGCACAGTCAAAAACTGTAAGCATGATCGATAAGTACTATGAGATCACGTGTTAGAAACGCTCTATATATGAACCTGAAATTTTAACATATAATCAGTTTACAATTGTGCTCAATTGCACATGACTTTATGCAAAACTGTATGAGTAGTTCAGTCAAATACCTAAATGAATAGTTAGCATCATCTGATGGAATGTAGATATACGTCACCATTTCCGACCGCACAGTTGATGTTGCCGTTTCTCCAAGAATTGCGCACGTTCATTTAACCATTCACGTTTGCTGCGTGCATACCAAATCTATTATGTTCACTGTCACAAATGGCACCTCAGAACACGAAGCAGACATGAAAGGTAAGATTAATTCACATTATAATTTCATCTATCACGCAGTTTAGCTTGCACAATGAAAGACGTTTCATTTTGCTGCCATAATCCACATTCTGCGAGCTATGAAGTTAGTGACAAAATTTCAGCGAAAAAATGCTTTGCAGGTTACTCGATTTCTTGGTCTGCGTCATTCCATTCATTCGTGAGGTCATAACGGAAACCACAGTAAAGACTCAATGGGGCCTTCAGATCGAAAAAAAGCACTGTTCATTGTTGTAGTCTTTCTTTTACACCTGTGTGGGTGCAGGTACTTCCGGACTGCGGTTTGGTGAGACATATACGCTGCTTGTTGCTGAGCTATCACAGAAGAACGTTCGCGAGCAACGTCGTCAACGGGATTTCGCAAACTAAAAATGTTTCTAGATAAAATAGATTCAAGAAACCTACAGAACTAAGCGTTTCATCTCTTTTTTCTTTTACTTTACTCGTGTTATTAGGAGAGTGAGATTCTAGAATTTAACACAAGCTAAGTCAATTCCTAGATGGTGTCACTGACCAGTCTCTCCCCAAAATAATTTCTGGCCCTCTGTTTGTCTTTCCCTTTGCATTTTCTCCGCGTCCGTGTATCTTTTTATTGGCTTAAGTTGTGTCACACCGCATTGTTGCTTGCATCATTAGTGAACACGTAGGCCACGGCTCGGGTCTCATTGTTCATGTATGGCTCAGTAGAAGCAATAAGGACGCGGTCTTCTCCTTTGTTGTATGACATAGGCAGCACGCCAAGGAACGTCATTCTTGAGCCATTTTAGATTGAAAATATGATTGGATGATACGATATCGTTTTTTTGGAGGCGACAAATGCGCCACAAACTTATTCGTTTTTATTAGTTTGTCCATGCCATCAACCTGATAAACGTTTTAAAAAACAGCCAAACAGGCCTCTCTCGGACTTGCGGTGCAAACTATGGAAGTTAGCACCCATAAATTAAGCGCGCGCAATTCAGCGAACAGCATTCTATGGATAGCAACATCGCCGACTGCTTGGTTTCCGTGCGTCAATGCAGACATCCTGGGGGCGCTTTCTCGGTTTTTAACCGTAAGAAACGCCATTCTGCAGACGGTGATTGAGGACGCTGTTCCATCGCTGTTGACAACTAACAGTTACCGGTGCTTATTACAATCTCATCAAGTTGCTGCACGCTACTTACCTGAAGCAGTCCGCATTCCGATATTTACAGATCCTCTGTAGCTCCTCATCCATGCGCATACATTCGGTGTTGTGACCACCGTCGACTAAGTATCCGGTTTGGACATCAACCATTCCGATTGTATGTCACGATGCACACCAGAGAATAGTAGTAATTTCTCCTCTACTGCACGAGTACGTAATTCGCAGATAGTGTTTGCTTTATCGGGACTCCTAGTAACCTTGGCTATATAAGGCAAGAAACTAGAGAATCTACCATTTTTCAAAAATTACGAGTAGTCTGTCAGTTGCTAACATGGACACGTGATCATAGTACATAGATGAATTGGTACGCCGGGACTAATCGGAACACGTTTAGCCGAATAGTATTCTCCCAGCGTAAACACAAAAAACGACGTGCAGAGAGAATTCCGCAATGACTTCAGATATTATTGAGATTAGATTACAGAAATCTCTTTAAAGAGCGAAACTCAACTTATGGTTTGTTTCTATGCGAAGAGAGCATAAAATTACTTTTAGTGGAACGATACTCGCATGTTTGTAGGAACAGGAGAATTTCGCGGTGCACATACTTGCAAACCGTACAATCTTCAGGCACAAAATGTATGCCGACAGTGTTGGCGTTTTTTTGACTCAACAGGTGCTCTTACTACGTTTGAAAACTAAGCATTTTGGTAAATGATAAAACGTGTTTCATCCGATGTCGGGATATGTGATGTTTTTCCAGATATTTTTCTGTAAGGCCTGCTAATATATTGATTATGATGGTTTTCCTCTCCTGTCTCATTCCTAACCTATACGGACGTCTTTAGTTTTCATAATTACTCTGCTGTTAGAAAGTAGAAGACTAGAAAATGTTCATGGAGAACACTCTCATAATCTGTTTTTATTCACACATTTGTTGACCGATAGCTTGCGTCGACTAGTAAGGACCAAGTATAAAATATGTGAACACCACAGCTCTAAAGCAGACAAGTTGCCTGAACTGAATAAGAAGAACTCCAAGTTCGGCCTCTTGTGATGACACATCAGTGGGCTCATGTCATCAGCCGTTTGGATCAAAAAGCCGTGTTCAACAGCCAGAAGACTTAAGCAGTCACTGACCCTAAAGTCAGGCATATCAGTCACTAACCGCTGGGATTTCATACTTTAGGAAACAGCCTGATTTGCACTTAAACACTGGTAGTGCCCCATCGGTTGTGCAATTTTTGATGTCGTAAATTATGCAACTTCCAAGCAGTTACTTACCGCACACATATATGCATCTGACTAATTGCTTATGCCTATATTTTGAACGATTAATAAACAAGTGGCTAAGCACCGTTTGCGCGAACATTCCTGTTTGCAGAACTTTAAAAATGCCTCAGTACGTCTGGTGAAATGTGGACTGAAAACTTGGTTCTAACTTCGGCCAACTCAAAGTACTTTCTCTATGGTATTCCACTCACTTTCCGGATAACACTGTAACAAAACTGTACAATAAATAGTTGTAACACCTTGGTTGTTCTTAATTTTGACGGTCGAATGATTTAAAATTGTTTGAGCAAATCACAGGATATCACTGGATTAGTATATCAAGGAACTATCAGAAGTTTTGTCTAGTATTGGTTGTTATAATTGGCTGTTAAGTTGCGCACAGTTATTGTCATTATTGCACCTTCACTGTTGTGTGTATTCGGCCAAATATTGGATGTTGCGACTGTCCCTGGGGATTCCATAGCTTCTCTTATAAATGATTTGTTCTAGGTGAGAGAAAGGGGGTGCTTGGGTCGTTCGGAATGCCTGCACCGGAACAGAGTGCCATCAATTAATCAGTGGAATACAAGCTATACAAGTAGTTTATAAAATTGGCGATAAAACTCAAGTTTAGAATGGACTCTGCTGAATTGGGTAGATGCAAGCGGTAGTTATTTTGGTAGGACAATATGTAATTTGTAAAAAACAATGCAATGCAAAATCTTTGAAGAATGGAATTAAACCAACCGACTAGGAACACGCTAAATTTATCATCCACTGCCTAATGCATTTAACATAACATCTCAACTCGATGCTTAGCAGTTTTATCTCCAGAAAACAACAGTTCAACTCAGTTATTACTCCTAATCCCAATTGTTCCACTGTACAAACTAAAGCACAACCCAGAAACTGTCACTAAAGCAGTGTGATACAGTAGTAAACGGGTAAGGAATCGGTAAATTAACATCACTATTTGAATCCGCTAAAATCACTAAAAAGCAGCAAAACTTCTGGGATATCGGTGGTTAAAACCTAAAAATGCCTCACATTATCCATTCAGGATCATGCCTTGCAAATGTGCAACAATACAGCCCTACAGACAGGACCGTTGGGACCCGGTGATATATCTTCGATACTCCTTCCACAACTCTCACACTTGTAGATTTTATCCAACTGAACGTTCCGCGTCACACCGATCATCGATCGCCAACCGATAATCGACACCATACGCGGTTGGCACGGCATAGCTAAAAAATCGTTTTTGGGATTTTGGATCACACTCACTCAGTCGATCAAAGTGCCCCTGTAGGGATTTACTCCAAAGTTCAGTTGCCCGTTGCCCGTCCCCACCTTCCTGATTTCCAGTAGTTGTGCTTTAGTCCTGCACAATATCTTTCTTCGCACTGGTATACGTCCTCTTGCCTCTGTTTGTTTCGTGCTCTTAGCCAACTCAGTGTCTGGCCAACTCAGTCTGATACAAAAAGAACCATATTGTCAGCTCGTTCATTGTTTGCAATTTGACGCCGTATGTAATAAAGGCAGGGATATTTTTCATCGTCGTTCTATCCTTTGCAAGGAATAAACCATTTCTTGTGTTTCGAGGAAATGGAGTTCCGGAAAATCGAGAGTTAGAACTTCGTGTATATTTAAGATTGCCTCCCATCTTGAATGACTGCGTTCCCGGTCAACAGTTCAAATGGACCGCCACATTTTGGACTGGTGTAGTCGAATCCTATTTTCATTTTCAAAGACATTTATATTTTCCGTTTTCCTCACCACGAAAATCGTTTTTACTGCTTCGGTGATACTATTTTGTACCAAAACCTCGGTTAACTGTAAATTTATTTTAATGCGGCCCGCTTTCGACCACGTGTTGACTGTTGATCCATATCGGCTTTGCTTGCCTTTTGGAGTACCTCACCGTTTGTGGAAAACCGTTGAGCTTCGTAATTTTGTATTCCGTGTAACTACTTTCATTTTTATAGTATAGCATATTTGCGTAGCCATTCGACGGAAGCTTTGCCGGTTTGGTTGCTAACCTTGGTGCTCGTCGCTCAAGAATTCGAAACGGTCGTTATATGGAGTTAGGGGAAATGCAACCTGGCCCAGTGCAAAACAGCTCGATCCTGACTGTTCCTACAATCTAGATGATGGGACACTCCGCACAGGATAGCGTCAGAGAGCAACTTGGAGGTACGCCAACTAGACTGATGCTCCGGTGATTTTTGCATGGCATCCATGTATCATTTTCATTAGCGCAAGTAATATCAGAAAAAATTGGTGACACAGCAGCGTACCACCTATGCTTTCTACTTCTTTTCAACAGTAGGGAAAACGTCCGCACGTACAATCTTTCCTTCGATGACATGTGAAATTCTGGAGCATAAGAGCCTCACGTGGATTGTTTCGGAACAGGCCCTTGAGATTCCTGCACTGGTTTCATCAGGCACACTTCCGTATAAGCTTATGTAACAATCACTTCATGTCTAGTTCGCGCGAAAGTCCCCCTGAATTGCGAATTGCATGATAAGAGACGGAACCACGATTTTCCACTTTGAAGATGCAACGCTATTGGCTACAAAAGTTTTGTATACTCGAACGCGCCCATGAGAGTTCCAGAAAATGCTCTCATGAGGAAAAAATCTGAAATTGACACCGTCGATCTTTAAACCATCGTTTTCACACGATCAAAAAAGCCGAAAGCAGACTTCGCATAAAGACAACTAGTTGAATAAGGACGTTTCAAGAAGTGGTGCTGTTCAAGCCTTAGCCTCATGGTGGAGATGCCAGGTAAAAATCGAGCCGGATTCTGACTAATCTTTACCTCTAGGTGATCCGTCGACCAACGGAAAATGATTGAAGAAAGCACTTCAGATGCAACGGAAGCTCGGCTAATGCCATGTGATTCTCCTTACACCTCTTTTTAAAACTAGGATAATAATGAAGGTGCTCCATCCCACGAGTATCTTTCTGTTGCATTCATTAGAACACCACCACCACAGCCAGATACAATGTTGGGATGGGCGTTCGATATCTCATGCTGGACTCGGTAGGTTCTTTGAGCTGTGTTGTTGTAGGGAACTTAGCTGAATTGTTCTCGGAAATGCTCAGCACAGTGCTTCAGGCGGCGACTGATGACGTGAACTGCAGCAATCTGACCGGATTTGGGCGTCAAAAAGCGGATTAAACGCTTGGTTGACAGTTTGATGGTGTCACCGACGGAATCACCGCCCGGAAAGACGCTTTGAACACCACGTGACCCTGTCTTGCCACAGAAAAAGCAGTTCGCTGCTACAAAACGCAAATAGATTGAAGTTGGCTCAGCCAGGTATATCCGGCAGTCCAAATAAATCCGACCGACAGATGCGCAAATCCTGTCCACATGACCTAGTGAGTTGAGTCAATGGATGCTCCCGAATATATTTGATCTCTGCACCGTCCCAGAAAATCTATCAGCTTCTTTGCTGGAGGCCCAGTCCGAGAAGGCATTAAGCCGCGACGCTGGATATGTGAGAACCGCAAGCCTGTGAGACCACTTCAAGTAAACCCCTATTTTCTAAGCTTAATCATCAAACTACAGGGAGTAATGCAAAGCAAATCCCACCGATGCCGATAAACAACGCTCTGTCAGGTACCGCTGAGGTCAGGTTAATTATCTCACTCAAGGTGAACCAGAATGTTGGTCCGAGCGACAGTCCGACATCATGCTGAGCTCTGAGTGGTCGAAATTGAGGACCAAACAGCTAGAAATGACTCAGTACACGCAGAACGGTGGTTGCCGATGGAGCGCCTGGAGGGCGTCAGAATTTGCGGAATTTTATCGCGACATACACTGTGAATACAACGCGTTCTATTAGTGTTTTGACCGGATTTCGGGTGTTAATATCCACCGTGAAAATCTAGTGATTGTTTTTTTGGGAAACACCAGACTGGAAGGTCTAGAGCTTGAATTCGACTGAGGAAAATGGTAAATTGCGACATTAATATTTTGTATACAGAAGCATTGAGGATTAACTTGCCTGCACTTAACCCTTCTGAATTATAGTTACGAACAACTTAAGTCCCCAAGACGTGATGTTGTCTAAATTTTTATCGCTACACTGTCTTACCCTTAACAAACTTCAGTGTGACTGAAATTAATCCTCAAAAAATCACACCTTATAATAAGCGTGAGGGTTTCCAGTTTGCTTAAAGATTCATATGCAGGTTTATGCTGTAGGTGCAGCCGCTACATTGCATTGCGCATGAAATCAAGGACCTAAGAGGAAATTGCTGCCGTGGAAATGTTTCACGGTTCCTCCTTACTAAGTGGGTTATGTTGGCTTAAGCCGTTAGAGCACTGATTCACAGACCCAACCTTTGCATCTCGATGTCATTTGTCTAACATTCAGCAACCGGGCACTATCTCAGGCTTCCTGCTTCCTTCCGGTGACACAGTAATGGCGCGCTGGAGGGGTAGTAGAGCTGACTGCAATTATAAGCGTGCGCAACCTGTCATGTATTAAGACTGATGGGACGAGTATTGTGGATGGTTTCACGGATTCACGGATTGATACACAGGATCGAGGTTATTGCGCAAGTTTCCCGGGTCGCTTTTGTTCTTGTCGGTCAGTGGCTGTCGTTCATCTGAAATGCTCAAGAGAGAAGAGGGTGTAGCACTGCTCTTTATGTTCTCAGCGCGGGGCAGTATGCTTGCCAGCGCGAGGATTCGCATAAATAAGAGTCTAATAGTGCTTTAAACTGGGTTCTATTAGGAGCGTGAACAACCGCCGGAGGAAAGTCATTCCACGCACCTACCACCCGAAATGAGACAAATTTTGTCCAATGTGTGTGCTCTGAGCTTGAAAATTTTCTTACTATGTCCTCACCGGGTGTTTGCTGGTTCAACGGTAAAAAAGCCTGTTTGCCAAGCTTTGTTCAAACAGGGCATAAGTAAGAATTAGGTCACCTCGGAGGCCACGGTACTCCAGGGGAAAGAGATCAAGCATCGTGAGACGCGTTTCGTAGTCCACGGATTTGAGGCCGGCAACCATTCTCGTGGCGGCTCGCTGGACACGCTCAATAAGGGTGAGGTCTTTGGTTCGTCCTGAGTAGACAACTTGGTTGGCGTATTCCAGGAGCGGTCTAAAGTAGACCCCATAGAGCGTTTGGAAGTCCATGCGAATAATACGGGAGAAGGTGCGTCGGATCATCCGTAAATGGCGAATGCCTTTTGGGCCGATTTCTCATGGTGCAGTGAGAAGGACAAGTTTGAGGAGACCCAGATGCCCAAATCCTTTTTGGCATCTATTCTCGTGATGTTTTCTGGTCCTTTCGCACCATGCATAACAAAGGAGTTCGCTGAATCCCCTCCAAACGACATATGGACGCACTTTTCATCATTCAGAGGTAGGTGATAGTCCATAGACCGCTGCTTGACAGCATCTACATCCATTTGGAGGCACTGGCATTGGAACTCCAGGATTTCAAGTCGTTCGCAAAAGTTAGACATGGACTTGCAAGAACATCTGGGAGATCGTTGACGTAGATCAGAAACAGAACTGGTCCAAGGACGGAGCCTTGAGGAACTCCAATGGAGACCGGCGCTGGAGAAGAGTAGTTTGAGCCTATTCTCGCTCGGAATGATCTGTCTGATAGGAACGCCTTGATCCAGCGAAGGAGTTTTCCTTGAATCCCGTAAGACTCGAGTTTGTGGAGCAGCGGGATGTGTGGGACCCTATCAAATTCATTGAGAAGTCGATAAATATGGCACCCGATATGAGTCCTTCGTCCTTGGTTTAGGTTAAGCTGTCCATAAGCACGAGCATGTTTGTCAGGCAAGAGTGGTGTGGGAGAAATCCTTGTTGAGCTGGAGATATCAAGTAGCTGGAAATAAGGTGATCTAGGATAGCTCGCTTCAGGATGCGTTCCATCACCTTGCACGGCACGCTAGTGAAGCTTATAGGCCTTTAGTTGCCAGGCGACAGTCCGTCACCAGTTTTGTAGATTGGCGTGACAATCGCTCCCCTTCAAGCAGAGGGACGGCGGCCTTCGTCAAGCGACTAACGAAACACCAGGTGTAGATGAGTTGCCAGTGTGGAGGACGTTTATTTCAGGATCCTTGAATGGACCTCGTAGGGCTCCAACTCGCAGAATGGATTGATCTGGTGGAAGAGTTGACGAATGTCCTCCACCGTGAAGACCAAGTCGGTTGGCGGCCATTCGTAGTTCGGCCTTGATGGGAGTGGATGTGACGAAGACGCTGG